ATATGGTAGAGTGCTGATTTAGCTAACACAAGGCCCTAGGCATTATCCCCAGCAACATGTACACATGTGTGCGCAAACACACACACACACACACACACACACACACACACACACACACACACACAGATATACACAGAGACACAATCATCCCAACAGAGACTATACTGAGTGTGAAGATTGTTAGACTTTGCTAAGATTATCAGAAAAGCTAAACCTCCTGAAATATTACCTTCATCGGCTTCCAAAGGCTGATCTGCCAACTGCTGCCCAAGCGCTGAATCTTCTGTGCCCACCACATGCTGTGGCCCCAGTTCCAGTATGGCTTCAGGGTCTGCCGCAACTGTCTCTGAGGTCTGCTGCAGCTCTGCACTCTCAATCTCCACAGGCATGGGAGCTGATACTTGCACGCTCTGCTGGTCCACAGTGCTGTCATCCATGGAGGTGGCCTGCTGATGCTGCTGAAGCTGCTGGGCCAGTTCATATCTTCAGGAAAAGCAGTGACCATTCACAGTTAGACACTACCAATAGTGCAGATACAACCACAAAAGCTGTCATTCATTACAAGTAACATTCTTATTGTTCAATTGGTAATACTGTTAAAAATCAAATACTTTGTCATTCTGAAGAGAACGGTGTTGCCGTGAGTACTGTCAGAGGTCACAGGAAATGAAAGAAGAAGGGACGGGAAGTACACACAAGAATTTCTTAAACTACAAATGGCAGCATGGTGCCATACAGCTCTAACTCCAGCCCTGAGGAGGCTGAGGCAGGAGAACTGCTATGAGTTCAAGGCCTTCCTGGGAATCACAGTGAAACCCTATCTCAAAACACCAAAAAGGAAAAAAAAAAAAAAAATCTGCTGACTCTCAATCCATCAGCCGGGCGTCGTGCCACACATCTTTTAATCCCAGCCCTCAAGAGGCAGAAGCAGGCAGTTCTGTGAGATGGAGGCCAGCCTGGTCCACCACAAAAGTCATGTGCTGAAGACCTGGTTCCCACTGCAGCAGTACTCAGAAATGAGGCTTTGAAGAAATGACTAGATCACGTAGTCTCTGATTTCATCAATCTATCAACTCTCTTGATGAATTCCTAACATGAAGGCATTTGGGAGAGGAGGTAGACCATAGGAAGTGGGCCTCAGTGGAGGAAGCATGCCTTTGAAGAGCATCACTTGTCCCTTTATGACCCTTCTCTCCCCTTTTTCTTTGCCTCCTGGCCCCGAGGTGAGCAGCCTATGTCACACATTTCCACTGCCATGATGTGCTGCCTCAGTAATGGCACCAGCTGACTACAGACTGAAGCCTCTGAATTTGTGAGACAAGATCTTTTATCCTTTAAACTGTTTCTCTCACCGGGCATGGTGGTGCACGCCCTTGATCCCAGCACTTGGGAGGCAGAGGCAGGCGGATCTCTGTGAGTTCGAGGCCAGCCTAGT